TTTGGAAAAGCTGGTTGAAACTCGAACTGAACTGAAGTTCTAAATTTAGCCACAAAGTTGGCTTCAGCCTCAGATGGTTATATCGACCAAGGCTAGTTTGTCTGCATAGAACATGGATCACTCAACTGATTGCATCAAGTTTCTGTGAGTAAGAACTCGGTGGTACCTGCCATGGCACGAGGAACTTGGAAGATGATAACTGTCAACGTCCCATATAGCATTTTTGTTATTAGATATTCAGTATGAGGCTTTGTAAGGGTGTCAGCAGAGATTAACCTATTGATACTTGGTGTACAGGGGCTTACAGTATAGACTACAGGATTTTGTGGCTGTTGTAGTGGAAAGCAGGATCAGTTGTACTGTAGAAGGGAGAAGTGGACGTGATTCAAAGATGTAGCATCCAGTTTTCGTAGCTACAATAAAAATGAAATAAGCAGTATTTGCAGCAGCTTGTACTGAGAAGCTTGATAAGGAGGGAAGCTGAACTGTTAACTCATCACTAACCGAAGATTGCTAACATGTAAAAGTCATTTAGGGACAGTGACAGTGTGAAACATTTCTGTAAAGGAGGATAAAAGAAAAGAAAAGTATCATCTCTGTGCTACAGATAAGAGGAAAACCGTTTTGAAAATGCAGCTGTTGTCACGTTTCTCGATGGTTTCTGGCCAAAATGATACAATTCCTTAAAACGGTCTGAAATTAGAACAAATGGGTTTGTGGTGCAAGTAGACATTTATAGACATATGACGGGAAGGGAAAGGTTCAGCTCTCGAAATTCAAATAAATGATGTCCGGTAATTGTTTTTCTTCAAGGCTATTGTTTACCATGTGTTGTGCTGGGGATGTGTTTGCTTACATAGCTTTTATACTAAGATGGATGCAGCTACAGCGACATCACTCACTGGTTAGATGGCCCTATTTTGAAGCCTCAGTTTCAGCATTTTGACTGTTGTATTAGTATTTTTAGAAAGAAATGCCTTGAGGTGGATCACAACAAAGAAATTGAGTATACTGCACATTTAAGCAGTAGCAACTTCTCAATTGCAAGCTATAGCCACACCTTAAAGCATCACCTGCTTCGTTGCCCATTTTAACCTCCTAGAACATGGCGTCTACAAGAGCCTGATATCCACTTACGAGGACATTATACAGCCACTGTGGAGCTCATTTTCCTCAGAAACAAAAATCAGCTACAAAACAAAACTGGTAATTCTTTGTTTTTATATTCATCAGGTCTCAATCAGCCCAAATAGCACAGAGAAATTGAAAATGTATGCCATGAACAAGTTCGGATCTTGGGAGGTTAAATAAGATTGGAGGACAATTTATAAGTTAAGCTCATCAGACTTGGTGTTAAAATCCATAAGAACAATTATCCTAGTGTCTTGTGCTTTGGGTGGGGGAGGGGTAAAAACTTCTTTGGGGTAATCAGGTTGGAACCCCCCTTCATTAGTTCTATAGATAGGCCCTCAACATCTCCAGAAAGGCAATAAGACAGACTTAACACCAGGCTTGTACTTCATCCAGCTGATCTTTGTTCGCTTCATAATTTTTATGGACAGAATTTCTAGGAGGGATGGAGGGTTCCATATTGTTAATATCACAGCTTGTTTATGATGATGTCGTCCTGGTAGCTTCAAGTTCCACTAGGACTGTTTCCAGTCGATTGAAAATTGGTCGACATGAGGGCATTTCCAAGTCTGAAAGCATGGGTCTCAGCCGGAAAAGGGTGGCGTGTAGTTTACCAGTGGGGGGACTTAAGGTATTGCAATGTTCGTGCATGCGTGAGAGAAAAGTCCAGTGGTTGATTGACAGATGGATTAGTACAGCATCTTCAGTAATGTGGACACTGTACCAGTAATGTTGTTGTTAAGAAACAACTGACATGAAGGCAAAGCTATTTATTGACTTGGCGATCTACGTTTCTACCATCATTTAAAGCAACTGTGGGTAATGGTTGAAAGAATAAGATTAGTATGCAAAAAGAGCAACATGTTTTAGTTAATCCGAATTTTTACAAGTTGATGGCCAGTATTTGAAGTCAGCGTATAATGCAGCTGCATTTAGTATAAATGGGAAAATACATTTGCCTGTTCATAAACTATTTGAAGATATCCAATGTCCATTCAGATGATGCTGAAATTTTGTAACTTTCTCTTTAAAACAGCTGCAGCAATGAAAAATCCATTACCGTTTATTACCAAACCTATCTTCAGTGTTAAATGTTAAATTTATAAAATAGAGAATCTTCTTTGTACAATCTTTGGCTCTAATGTGCCTGGACATTTATAGTTTGTATTTAATGAGATAATGCCAATATCATTTAAACCACAAATTTGTAATGGAAAAAATAACATTCTCAGTCAAAATCATCAAAATAAGAAAACATCAGAGGTTTCAGGGTGACATCAGCCATTTATATGAACTAATTACTCAGAAGTTTTCAAAACAAGTAAAAGAAAAAAGAAGAAAACAATGAAAGAATAAGATTGTGGATACAAGCAGAGATGAGCTTCCACTCCTGTGAAGGCTGGCAGCTGACGTCAGCCTCACTATATCTGAGAACAGTGCTCTGATGAAAATGCTAAGTTGAAAAACTAAGAGCCAAGTGTGTTTATTAAAAGTCTTTTAATTTTTGCAAAGCAGTGTGTCGGCATTGTTTCTATTTCTTGCTCATAGTGTGTGTCCTTGGATGCACGTGCTTTAATATCTGCATTTGTAAAGTGGTGCTCCCCAGCTAACTCGTTTGCATTTATTCTGTTCGTGAAGAGGCAAATAAGTGAAATCCAATGAATCACACCAACTTTAAATTAGATGATGAAGGTAGCCTGCCTACCTGGTGACATAGAGCTTCCCCTGCAATGCTGACAAAATACATTTGCAGCAGGTGACAAATGTGTATATTTTTTATCAGAGTAAGTACAGATTTGCTGTGATAAAAGACAACAAGTGGGAACATTAGCATAGCCCTCAAATGGGGCTACCGACTCACAGAGCTGCATGAAAATAATAATGCACAGGCCCAGCAAGGGTGCTGTTTCTACAACATCAATCAATAGAGACTTGGAAAATGCACCAGGGTTATTAATCGTTTGCTCGAGCACAAGAAAATGTAATTAGTACATTAAAATTGGGCCACTGACTCCATGCTATGATCCTGTATGCCAGCTGAGCTATATATCATTCCATGCATTTGTGGAAATTCCAATGACAGATGGAAGGTCAGGTCAAGGTCAAGGTCAGATTTATTTATATAGCACATTTCCAACAGCCGATGCTGCACAAAGTGCTTAACAATAACAATAAAATTAAAAACTACAGTGTAATACAATAATAACAATAGAAACAATAAAATAGAAGAATTGAAACAATACTAACTAATTCAGATAAATCCAAAATGCTTGGGTCATAATGTGTTAAAAGCCAGAGCGTAAAAGTGTGTCTTTAGTAAAGATTTAAATTGCTCAAGAGTTTGAGCAGATCTAATATTAAAGGGGAGACTATTCCAAAGTCTGGGACCTGCCACAGAAAAGGATCTATCACCACGAGATTTGAGGTTAGTCCGAAGGGTTTGGAGAAAAGTTTGTATGTCCAACATTGATTTTTAGGACTAAAACCTCCCAAAGACCTTCAAGTACTTACTCATCAAGCTGAAGTTGGCCACATTATATACATTATTATATTAAAAAATTCCCCTTTCACTCCTGTGGCTGGTCTTTATCCTTCAAGCTCAGGTCTTCTACCAGAGGCCTGAGAGCGTGAGGGTCCTACACAGTATTGTTGCTGTTCCTAGGACTGTGCCCTTCTGGACAGAGATCTCAGATGTCTGAGATCTAGGAGGCAGAGGTCTACCACACCAGGCATGACCCCAGGGAAGGCCCCAGGTGCAGGCTGTGTAAAGATGCCCCTGAGATAATCCAGCACATAACAGCAGGGTGCAAGATACTAGAAGGCAGGGCATACATGGAACGCCTGTGCCGAGTATAATACAGATGTTGCTGGAAGTCAAAATCGTTGACCCCCCCTTAGGATGGTCAAGATTGACCGAGCTAAGATCCTGTGGGAATTCCAGATAGTAGTGGTTGAGAAGGAGAGGAAGAAGGCTGTAGTGATAGATGTAGCTATACTGAATGAACATGGAACACGACAAGCTCAGGCTGAGAGAAGAACTCGAAAAGATGTGGAGGGTGAAGGTAACAGCCGTCCCAGTGGAAATCGCAGCATTCAATGAAGTGACTCCAAAGATAGGAACAACATCCGAGACCTCTGCCCAGAAGAGCTAAGATACTGTGCAGGTCCATCAAGCTTCCAGGCTTCTGGGAGAGGACCTGAGCTTGAAAGACAAATACTGCCTGCAGAGGCAAGAGGCAAGGCAAGGCAAGGCAAATTTATTTGTATAGCACAATTCAACAACAAGGTGATTCAAAGTGCTTTACAGAGACATTAGAAACAAAAACAAATAAAAAGCATGATTTAAAATTGATTAAAACAAGCAAACAAACAAACTAACTAAACACACACATTTCACACCTGTTCGCGCGATCTGAACCCTTATCGTAAGGGGAGCTACCAGTCCTTCTGTGGACGAGCTACTTTCTATTTTAAATTCCCTGAATTTAAAATACTCTCTAGACCCAGTCTAGACCCAGTTGGGGAGCTACCCAGAGCTCTAATCCCAGGGGAATTATATGTGTGTGTTATTTGCATAAATGCTTCATTTTCAGATCTATACCTCTTATTAGTAACACGAGAAGGGAATAGAGAGGCCTCGGTCTGTGATAAAATGCTAGCTTGAATGGTTGGTCATTGATGATGATAGCATTTCAGTGGTATGGCAGCCCATCTACCGATAATGCCCCAGGCTAACCTCTACCCTGAAATTTACCAGTCGTGTCTAAAAAGCACTCATCATCTCTTGTGATTAGAATCCAGATGAATGGAGAAACATGTTCATCTTGCTAAAAGACTTGTTTCCCCCCCTTTCTCTCATATCTCTGCAGCTGTACAGCTCGGTAGACTTCGGAAGAAAATGGCAGCTCATCCACGAACACGTCACGCCAAACAGATTCTACTGGTGAGTCACTCATTCTCACATCTCCACTTTTCCCCCTTTTTATTCTGCTCCATTCCTCTTCCCCAAAGTTTTGTTTGCTCAGGAATGCAGAAAGTGTTGCTCGTGTTCGGGGCGACTGAGCAAGTGATATTGATGGCTTAGAACAAGCTATGTGACTGACTGGTGATGCTGCTAAAATTCTGCACATTTTCTATCCCTTGATACAATCAGGCAGAGATTAATCTCCTTCTTCAGAATGCGCTTTGCATTCAGCGTCCGAGGGCATGTCGCATTCCACTTCATTTCTCACACTCACACCCTGTTCATATCAGGCGTCCTGCAAGACCAAATTATTATTTTTACATTTGCAGTAGAAGGAAGAGTATTTAGTATTTAGTATTTATTTATTTATTGTCATTGTCAATAACAATGAAATTGCGTTTGGGGCTTCCATACAACCCAAAAAAAAGAAGAAAATAATAAATACCCCTTAAAACCCAAGTGTACATATTTAACCCAGTGTGACTCCAATGCAATAAGACAATCCTTAGCAATAATGTTCGTAGAAATTCAGACAAAGACCTGAGAAACATGACAAAATACAACAATGCAACCCATTCAATATTATTGTACTGTGAGATATGATATCAGATATGATAGTTATCTATTTAAGAAAGAGGGGGGCAGGAGGGGGAAGAGAATAAAGATATGATGCACCAATGCAGACCAGTTCATTGCTATTAAGAAGTTGGATATGGTTATTGTCCGTGAGAGGGGGGCAGAGAGTTCAGGAGCCTCACAGCCTGTGGATACAGGCTGTTGGCCAGTCTGGATGTTCTGGCCTGTATAGACCTGTACCTTCTCCATCAAGAGGGGTGAATCTCTACAGATACATACATGCAGATACATGAGCTATGACTAATAATGGATCCAGGACGTTCCTGTCGCTTCCTATCCAGTCATGTCTGCTGCTCACTCCCCCTGCAGTGTACCTACTATGTCTGAAAGTGCACACTCATCACAAACGTAGGGCCGAATATATTCCAGCTCAGTGCTCGCTGCCCCACTCTGATGTGACTGGGGTGTGCCTGGGATTGCTTTTGGCTATATGCACCATAACTTGCATAAATCTGGAGCTTTCTTTGCCATTGTGGCATAAGCCTAAATAGTGTGCACAATCCGTTGTAGAGTTTGCCCTTCACTGCCAAAGCCCCCTCAAGGACATTTATACACTGGATGAGCCTTTAGCAATGGCTAGGCAGTCCTCCAGTTGGCCGTATTTAGACAATGGCCTCATCAGCCTCCAGGGGCTATGAAATACCACCACAATGGGAGCGCTGTATCCATCTAGTCTAATCCACCAGCAGTGAAATGAACAAAAAAGCACGATTATTCTCTGAGATACAGACATGGTCAGAGAGTGTAGTGGCCTTGTACCATTCAGTCGAAGATAAGGAGATTGTATTTCTTTGCATTGTTGTATTTTGCTGAAATGGGATTTGGGCTTTACTCTGTTCTCCTTACTATGTCTAAGATCTGAGATTTTATTGGGGGGGGGGGGTTGTACTCATACAGAGCCAATAGTAGGCAAAAATGTTTGGTGGAGAACGTTTAAATGCGTGTTCATTTACTTGTGTATATGCTAACTTGTGACCATGTTTAAAAGGAACAACTATCATTGCAAAATATATACAGAACAGAAAATGCACAATAGCTTCACTTCTAATTAATCAGTAACAGAAGTAGCTTCTCCTTTACATCCTTTTCTTTTTTGTTATGCTTATAAAAACTTATTATATTCTGCTTTTTCATTCTCTCCCAGGTCTGTCACAAGCCTAGACAAGGAGCCTGATCTGATCCACATGGAAGCTCACACACCAGATGGAAGTAGGTGTCTTACACACAAAGACGAGTAATGAGCAGGTGTCTATAGGCATGAATTCCTCTTTGTGAAAAGAAGTCGGCCCCAAGGAAACGGCATTGGCTCACCCCACCAATGAACCCAGCGTATGAGTCTTGATGAATATGGCTTCTTTTATTTTCACTCTCATTAAGTGAATGTCGTCTCCGTAACTCTGAAAGGCCACAACATCAAGGTCGTCTATACTGTAGCCAACATAAGTGAAACTGCCACTGTGTGATGTCACTGCAAAAACCAAGAATTGCTTTTTTCCTCCTCTTGGTGTCGTATGATTGACAGATGGAGATGCTCGTTTATGGCGTCTACACAATGAAAATAAATCAGGTGCTACACAGCGAGGCAAATTATTCAGAGAGACTCTGCATTCTGCAAATAAGATAAAAAAAATCATTTGACCTAATTGGGAAAGAAATGGTTAGCTTACAAAGTCTTGCTACAGCTGTTGTTCTGTATATATGGACTAGCAGAATACATAATGCTGATCCTGCATTTCCTCCTATGTGACAGATGTGCAGTATGTCACGTGCAGAGCTCAGATGTGCACAGAAGCTAACAGGAACTACCCGTTCCCAGGTTACATTGACATCAGCTCTTTGGTGGTTCAAGATGACTACATATTCATTCAGGTAGGGCTTTGTACACTCTGTCCCATCACTATCTGATGCATGATTAATTATGCATGTTTAAAGATATGCAAGATACGGTATGTCTCCTATATTGAGAAGCACACTCAGCTTTTTGCATAAACTGCAAGTGTGGATTTGAATGGCTTTTAGATAAATGGCCATTAAGGGCAGAGTGACTTTAGGAACTTTCGCGCTACAGCCGGCCTCAAATAGTTTTTGATCTGTTGAAATGTATTTAAAATATTGCTAAATTCAGGTGTTTCTTTCCTGTCATACTATTTCTGGTATGAGTTTTTTTTTTTTTTGGCAAATGATTTCACTTGGCAGGAATAAAATATGTAAAAATCATTTTATGTTAACCTCAACTGAACATTTGTGCTTTGTTTTCCTGTGTGAGCAGTTTTAATATTCATCCTAGCCACAGAATGGTGTGTCATATTAATCACGATTTGTGTAACAGAAAAATCTGAAATGGTAATGTCCTGAATCCCAAGTAACACAGATGCAATTTATGGGTTGTATTTTAATTTCCTCTCCAGCGTGAATATTATTTACTTTGACATTGTGCAAATGAGGTTTCATACATTTAAAAGTCAACAGGAAACGTTGGGATAATTACACACCTAGTCCATGGCAATGCCAGTTTTATTCAGATTTTCCTCAAAAAAAACTGCAGTGGTATCTGATATGTGCTAAAAATGTTTTAGGTAGAAGGAAAAAGATGGATCTGGTTTTGGTTTCTCATTATCGGTTTGTCTTTTTAAAAATCGATGTTGATGAGACGGTGGCTACAAGTCTTGCAAACATCAGATCATAGCTGCATCTTCTTAAACCACCTGCAAAAAACATGATTTTCAGGTTTCACAGCAACAACTACAGCAGATGGCACCTGTGCTCCTCCAAAGACCCTTACCCCTTTCACCTCTTCACATCCAACAGAAGCATCACATAGACTTACACCAGCCTCAGAAATTGAGTCATCCAACTCGATGTATTTTATATTTTAAGTTAATATTATTAATTTATATCACGATTTTGAGGTGCAGCAGTTGTAAATTCTCTTGCTGTTTGATCCTGCTAAATGTTTTATTCAGTAGAGAATGGGTGGGTTCAGAAACTCAGCTTGATTTACCTGCAGGCAAGTCCTTCCTCCGGAACCTTTTCTGCCCTTGGCAGCACATTAGACAAAGAAATAGAGTGGTTCTCCAAAGATCCTTCAATCCTGTTTGACCTCTCTGAAGTCTTTCAAATAAACTCACAAGCACTCAACCAGAACCACCCCTTCAATTCAAGCACCTCCACATTTTAGCACGTATGCGTCACAGATGAAAGATCCTGAAAGGGATGGGAAAAAAATCCATCATACCAATTCCTCTTAAAGTTCAAACTGCCTCTGGTTACCCAGCCATCGATCTCCTGCTCCTTCTCTCGATTGCATGTGGGACTGTTCTACAGCACTCGCTGCTAGGCTGCTATATTTCCTCTCAGTGCTCAGTGTTTTCTCTCTGCTGGACCACTCGCAACGCTTGCAAGATCGGTAAAAGAATCGCCTCTGTCGTACAACATTAATGCTGACTTCACTTCTCTTTAGTCGAGAACCACAAGCTCTGATTTGAAGGTTTTCCTCTAATGAATTTCATAGTGTTATTGTCAGGGAAGAAAAGTAGGTTATGAACCTGCAGTCTCACTTTGCTGGGTGCTTCTCTATTTGTACAAAGTGCTTCTGACTTCTGTGGTCTTGCGCCTAATGACAATTCTCCATCACCCACCATTCCCGTGTTTCCTTGCTGCATAAGCTAACAGCTTAGAGTGTTTGCAAAGAGTCTAGCCCATTAGGATGTGTTTTTTTTTCTTTCCTAGACAGCAGACGAGGCTCAGTTAGGTAACTTAAAGATTTCTCTTGACAAAGAATAATGAGACTATTGATTCTCCTACGAGATATTTACCAAAGTCCACTTTGAAACCACCAGTGCATTGACACCTGGGCTGCATCTTCTGAATCCAAGCCAGGAGGTTGCTATAAATGGAAAGAAAAGACTGCTGGGCAGCCACAATATCCAGCTTTGCCACGAAAATAAGCAGGTGGAAAAGCCAGAAATTGATGTGTACTTTTTCCCAAACTTTAATTGTTTAGACAAATATGGTATGATGTCAGTTATGAGGTGACACATAAGGCCTTCTCCCCTGCATTTGTTTATCAGCAGCAAATCTGAAAGTCAGAGAGAACTGCTACGTGGAAAAAGCAAAGTATCCTGAGACTCAAAGCTTCGAGGAGTATAGAAGGACGTGTATCACGTATTATACCGTGAGGACAAAAGCCTCATTTAATCTTATAAGAGAAAAAAAATACCTTTTACCAGATTTGGATAGTTGCTCATTTTTAATCAGTTGTTATTGGGCCTAAATGTGCGCTTAGTTTGCTTGTTTCCTCGTCACAAAGTGTGCTCACAGCAGGTAGCGCATTTCACAGTTTTACGCCGGATCCGCTTCCTGGCACGACTCCAAAGGGGATTTGTGGTTCTGGCTGGAACTGAAGCAACAACTTTTCACTTGGCAAATGAATGTGAAACTACTATATGGAGCCACTGTTACTGGGCTGTAAGATACAAATACAACTACAGAAATATCATCAAATGTTCACACATAAAGGTTTCCAGTTTCACTTCTAACCACCAAACATACACATTAAAACATTTATGTGTACATCAGATCCATAAGCACTGGGACTTATGAAACCATGAAGATCTGATTGAAACGTAAGTTTCAGCTTCAATTCAAGGTGTGTAACCGCGCAGCCAACAGAAAACTGGACCAGTACCAGCTTTTTGTAAAGGCGGTCCTTTGTTTTGCTCTCCACATGGACTGACTGCCTGAATACAACCATAGTGTTCTCAATCAACTGCACAAACTACACGAAAATCACAAGGCTGGTGACAATGTGGAAACACGGTTAATAATAGTCACGAGTGCGCTACAGGTGATAGATTCGGGTGCGCTGTCATACTGCCGATCACATGGGTGTGGAAAAAGTCTCATCGTGAATTAGATGTGTACAAGCATCTATACTCCTTTTGAGCTGCACACCTGCACCCTCCAAACTATACTTGACACTATATAAAATGATGCATAATAGCCAGAAACGCTGCATACCATGTGTAATGTATTTAATTAATAGAGTATTATATGTTCTAGGTTCCTACATCAGGGCGAGCCACATATTATGTGTCCTACAAGAGAGAGCCGTTTATACAAATCAAGCTGCCCAAATATTCCCTGCCTAAGGTAAGCTGCAGTGCCTTTACTTGATGATGATGATGACACACAGACATGCTTTTAACCTATGACACACCCATCAGCTCACCAGTGACTTGTTCAGGGTCAGGGTTTGGATCACATCTTTCCATTTCTCTGGAGCTTCCATTCACTGGTAAAACCAAACAAAGGTATAATATAATGTAAGACATTTCATTTATATAAGGCTCTTCTAAACAGCTTCTATTTTCTGATATAATATAGAAAAAGTCAGGTCACTGCCCATTTCCATTCATACTTATATAACTTACTCCATATTAAGAATAAGGCCCATTCTTTACAGTATGTCATCAACCATTTATATTCACACCTCAGCATGGATCTCATGACCAGTCCTATGGGGTCAGCATGTTCTAATCCGTCACCTCTCTGCCTCCGGTCATAACTCTTCTTAATCTCTCCCCCTGCTCTCTTGATAGGATTTACACATCGTCAGCACTGACGAGAAGCAGGTATTTGCTGCAGTGCAGGAATGGAACCAGAATGACACCTACAACCTCTACCTGTCTGACACCAGAGGGATCTACTTCACCTTGGCCATGGAAAATGTCAAGACCACCAGGGGCATTGGAGGGAACCAGATGCTAGACCTATACGAGGTAGACGCCTGATGAAATTAGTCACCCTGTGTGGATTCTGAAATAATGAATTCATGGGAAATTACAGAGATTAGTATTATTTTCACTCATTAGATCTGCGATATGGTAAACAGATACAGGTAGATGTGTGTGTCAACATTATTGGAGAAGAGCTGTTTCACAGCAAAAACAAAATCACAATCAACAAAAGGTGTGAAATACAGGTTACTGTGTCCACGGACAGCATGAGTGAATGAGGTGCTGAGCAGAGCTGAACTGTGACTGAGCATTTAGAATAGTCGGAGCTTTTGACTATGGATTAGGGATTGTTTGGATAATAATTGGTAATAATTGGTAGTGTTTGTTCACAGACACTGACAGAAATGAAGGGAAAGTATGATAGACGCGCTTTAAATATATGAATTTTAACCAAATATTTGACAGTGTGGTACACAGAGGCTTTTTCTTTCAGCTGTTGTTGAAGTCTTCAGCATTTTTTTTTAAACATTAACTCAATGTGAGGTATTGCTATTGGATATCAGCTCACACTGTGAAAACAATATGACTTTAGTGTTGTGTAAATTAAGAACTCCAGAATCCTCCTATCAAACACGCCTCCAACGCATCAGCAATAACTGCTATTAGCAGCCAGATCGTTGTGGTTAGTTTCGTCGTCAACAGTAACTCAGCAGCACCGGAATTAGACTTCTAACATCAAGATCAATCAATCAATCAATATGGAGTAATGACAGTGAGAAAAAGCGCTGTTGGCAGCTATTGAATTGCTCTGGTGAAAAGTGACATGGACACTGTTAGAGTGAATTGTTAAATGTTTGTCATTTTTATGTTTACCATTTGTACATGGTTTTAAGGAATTCTTTCCGTCCTCCCCTCCCCAGAGTCTTAAGATTCTGGGAGGGGGGCGGTAGTGTTTTTAATCACAGGAACATCCTTGTGAAGGTCTGTTTGATGTTGGTAAACCTCCTCCCCTTTGTATGGCTTCACTGTGTTATCTAGTGTGAACCATCTAGGGTGTGGGGGAGACTACCCTCTTTATGACCAAGGATGTTCCTCCAGCTTTTATGTTATAGGACCCTTTGGTCAGCAGGAGGTCTGACACACACACACACACACATTCTTACGTAGATACAGAAGTTCACACATATACATACAATGCCCTGTCTTGGAACCAAGGGGGCGTGGCTTTGTTCTGACGTGTTTTGTGTGAACTGTCTCTCAATAAAAGGCAGCAGGAGGAGGTCAGATCTGGAGGTCATTTTCGTGGTGGACACAGACGAGGCCTCCCTTGCGCAAATAATCGATCGATCGACTGTCTTGTTTTCTTCATGATGAATAAATCTCTAGAATTACCGGGGCTTGTGGAAACACAGACCCAACAGACACCAGCAGAAAGTAGCCTTTAAAAAAGCAGTAATCCTTAAGCAGGAACTTAATAAAAAGTACCTGGCAGGTGACTGGATGAATAATCGCTAATATCGATGTCTCAGCCCATCATATCAGCCAGTTGAACCATTCGACCCTGAGAGGAGGTCAACTCTTCGGTACAAACAGAAGGGATTTGGAAACTTTGGCTGCGCTTTGGCTTTTTTCTTTTTCCTGCTGCTTACTTAGAGCTATTTTACATATTTTATTCATTGTGCATTTATTATCACAAAATAACAAAGGCTTTTTAATAAGGTACACTCCATTCACAGATTTTAGCTCACTTCAGTCTTTGGCTTTGTGTGTGTGTGTGTGTGTGTGTGTGTGTGTGTGTGTGTGTGTGTGTGTGTGTGTGTGTGTGTGTGTGTGTGTGTGTGTGTACACACTAGTCTTCTGCATTAAATTAGGCAAAACGTATCTGTGTTTGTTACATTAGGATAATTCATATGCAGTATTATAAAGACAAGATAAACTGTGGATAAAATTGATGATGATGATGATACTGTTCCATCCATTTAAGCATATTATTAACATGAATAGCAATAAAACCTGCGGTCGTGTGCAACAGCACTGCTGTAACTTCTCAGAGCCAGGTTTGCATTTCAGGCTGCGAGCTTCCACCCTGCAAACATGCATACAGTGTAAAGAGTGCATTTAATGGGGCTCACTGCCATGCAGCTCTGGACTTGTAATGCCCTTGTTAGCTACCCTACTGCCTGCTATACGGTTTTGTATTCATAGTAGAATTCCCTTCTCCACTCCCGGGTGAACCCAGTTTATCAGTCCTACACTGGCAGGTGTGACTGAGAGAGTGTGGAAGGAAGTGAGATATTGGCCAGCAGCAGTAACAGCAGGATGGTAATTAACAATGCCATTACTTGCCCTGAACAGTATGTGCATACGTGAGTGTGTGCGCAGTTTCTATTTCTATGCAGCAGTTGTTAAGGCCTTTAACCAAGCAGCAGGACAAGGCGCTTTAATCGTGTTTGGCTCGGCCACATTTCCCGATCTGAACCTAAACAAGAGAGATGACACACTGCTACCCTGATAATCCAGACCCATTACACAAGGAAAGATATGTGCGACAGAATTCATCTCATTTATTGTTGTTGCTCTGTGACAAACCGTTCTTCACGCAGGCGACGTTTCAGACAGAAGCTGCAGCTCCAATTGGAGACGGCGAACTATGTGAAAGTTGTTTTGTTAGAAGTCATATCTCTTCCCAGAGGGCCTCTGTTCTTTGTGCACCCTCCCTCCACAAATCAATTATTCTTTTCTTCCCCCCACACAGAAAATTGGACAATTATCTCCAGAATTAGAGGGATTATTTTATTGTCAATGAGATTGGACAAGGGCAATTTTTGTAATCATGAGCTTTTGTTATGCAAACTAATTTTCTGTTGACATCAGGGCTCTACATCACCTGCTAAACCTTCCTTCAGTCTGAGAGTGGGCTTAGCAGGTGGCTCTTTGACGATTAGCACTCAGATTGTGTGGAGTTCACTGTATCAAAAATCGTTTATCTCTCTCACAATAAACAGTTCAGGATGATTGATTGAAGACATTAAGTGGGTTGTTGTCGGTGGAGAGTATTTAATGATCTGGATGATACTGATACTCGGGATGATGTGGTTATTCACGGCTGTGTTTTCCCACCAGCAAGTGCAAACCCAACAACGCAACGTTCAACAGATGATTCAGACAAACTATTGACATCAAATACATGCCAGTCCCAACTGTGCGGTGTGGATGCACAATCTTGGATCTTTTTGTTATATTCTCACTCATGTTCTAGTGAGCGGTTTGTATGATTGTCCACTTCAGTGCAAAAATGCTTACTACTGTTATGGAAATCAATCTGGACACAAACGAGCCGTCTCTCTGAGATTTTAATTTGTCTTTGCAAAGTTGTCAAACAACAATAGACGTCGGCAGCATTCTGCACGGTATTTGAGCGAGAATAATAACAAGCATAGAATCATTTATAGGAACAAGTTATCAGCCGGCCGTGGTCACAGAATACATTCAGAACATTCTGTGCAAACAAGTATATCTTGTAAAAGAGGATGATATGAAGACAAAATCAGGATACCGCTGAGCCTTCCACTCATCAGTAAAAAAATGGAACAACAACATTTTCTATCACACCACCACAACCAGCTGATGGATGGAGTATTGGGAGATGGTGCTCACAAGGTCGTGTTGTCAGATGTAAGGTTGTATATTCACTTAAGAGCAAGAGAACAGCGCAGTAACTGCAAAGGTCTTGAGCTATCCCCCATTTCTTTGTTTCCATCCATGAGTGTATTGAAACGTGTAGTACAGTATAGAAGACAAAAACAGTGTTTGTACAATTTAAACAACCTTGAAAGTCATTTTTTGGTACGACCACATTTATTCTGTAACACAGCAGTCTTTCATTTCTGCAAATAGTCTTTAGGAATAGTTCTTCTGGTTCCTTGAAGGACATTCAAACATCTTCCTTGGATGCTGGCTGATGTTTGTGTTGTTCTTTGCTGAGATGATTCCACACTGCTCCAATAATGTTGCTGTTTGAAGCTGTTTCTAATCAGGACTTTCTAGATGGTGCTGCATGGTGGATTATCTGACAGTACTTTTCTGTATTCATAACTTTAAAAAGATCCCAGCACCACTGTCTGAAATGCAGACCATGAACAAACCTCTAGTGTAATTTAAAGATGGCTGTAAATTAGACTGGTGGTTAACAGTAGTTTACCTGAAGGGCCAGATGCAAAATTGGTTTAGAGCATACTTCGTACCATGTTTTTGGCTAAAAGCAATTTGAAAATCTCATTGTTGGTGCAAGCAGCATGTCAAGTATCACCAAAACAAACTCATACATTTAGCAGTTGCATTAAGAACTAGGTGAAGGGTCATATAGGACAGTGTTTGTTCCTTTTCTGGGTAATCTTAATAGAAAAGTTTTCCAAGGACTGACAATCAATAAATAATCTCATTTATTCTCTGCTTCCAGCTCTATAAATCCGTGCCCCTGATTTGAAAATTAGGTCAGGCTAAAGCAAAATGAAATCTTTTGCAGATCCACTAAAATCGATTCATATTGATGTTTAATTGCATTAGAGACTTTTCATTTGTCTTCTACACACTCTTGGCAAAACCTCAAAATTAGATCTCAGACACTCAGAAAATGTTCCTCTGACTCTTTTACTCTGTTGCAAACAAACCACAAAACAGTTCTTGTGTAATAATTAGTAATAATACGTTATTAAGTGATCATTATAGCTTCATGAAACACACCACAAATACAATAAAAGAGGATGAATATAGATTTTTTTCAAAAGGTAAAATTATTGTGGAAGCACAAAAATGGTCCATGAACAGCGAACTGCAGTCATGACACTATTTAAGAAAGTTGGAACCTGCCCCAAATAATTCAGCCCAACATAAAAGTCCGAGGACATGCAAGAAAATATTAAACATTTATTATGATGATTCCACATTTAGTTTCCTGTGCTTAATCTAAAAAAAACCACAAAATAACTAAAACAATATCATTTCATTTGTTTGCTACAGTGGAAAAAAACAAAAAACTGTTTGTACACGTTCCAGGTGAGGCGAGACTTTTGCCAGGGCTTGTGTTGGTATTTTTGGAAATGCAAAAATAGGGTTATTCCCACACCTTCCACCAGCCATCGGTGCTAATTAGTCAGTGTAACCCAGTGTGTGCTAGAGCAAAGCAGATTAAACCCAAATTCAAACGCAAAAATATAAAAGTTAATGCCAAATCTTTACCAACAGTCAGCTCACCAAGCAGCTGGGTGTTGGTCGGCTGGGTTGAAGAGCTGCTGCACAGTTGTCATGCAATATTCTTTGTTCCATTTCCACTCGCTCACAGCAAATAGCAGTAATCAGCGTGGCGTGAAGGCGGCAAATCAGCGCATTTCAGAGTAATGTGTGCTTTGGAACGGAGATCTGCATCCTTCACTGTATCTTAAAGAAAGTCATGTGGGAGGAAAGAAAGGGGTGGATGCTGCTGGCCATATAAAGTTCTGCGTGTGTGTGTGTGTGTGTGTGTGTGTGTGTGTGTGTGTGTGTGTGTGTGTGTGTGTGTGTGTGTGTGTGACAGAGGAGGTGGAGGAAATAAATAATTACTGCCACAATTGACAGGTCAGGTTGGATGAGGACGGGAGGACCCTCGTTAGCCGCATCCATCCTGAGCCACATGTTTCTATGACAATGTCAAATGCGCTGCCTATTAGTGCCACTTATACAGACGTGCCCCTTCAGGGAGGCAAACACATCCATGTGGAGACCCTCACTATGAGTGACTCTGTCATTTCCATTGCATGTCATGCTTTGGTTTTGTTGAAGGATGTGTCTAATCCCTGAGAGACGACTGGCGGGGTGGATTTGGTCAGAGGACTGTGAGTCTACACTGTTACAGGTGTACGTGTGAGATTCGGTTCAATTGTTGGAAAACAGACAAGGTGTCACTTCTCAGCCGTCATCATTTTGTACTGTCTAGATTACTGAGACGTGTAAGGATATAATTACAGAGAGCACAGTGTAAGAAACTGCAGCCTGTTCTGTTGACGGTGTCTGCAGGACTGTCAGCTGAAGAAAGGAAAGATAAGCGCGCCATTTGCATTTAACTGGTGTTGTGAAGATTGCCGCCTCAATACACAAAATGCCTTTTCTGATGAGAGTGCCGGGTATGCTTTTTCGTGCGCAACTGAGGCCCTAACTGTTATGGGTGTTGGGAGGGTTGTTGTGTGTAAAGTGCTCCCTGATGGCTTGCTTTAAAGATGGGTTTCAACCTGTTATGTGTCTGTGCCAATCAGGTGGCTGGAATTAAAGGCATGTTAATCGCCAACAAGAGGCACGACAACCAGGTGAAAACCTACATTACCTACAATAAAGGGCGGGACTGGAGGCTCCTGCAGGCTCCTGCGTCTGACCTGGAGGGGAATGACATCCACTGCATACTGGTAACGTACACGTCAAATGCTGTCTTGTGTTTATGGAAATTACACACAGACTAGTTTTCACATCTTAGTGAGGACATCAATTATACATGATCCTTTCCCCAGCTGCTTGCCCTAACCATAAGCCTGCCACTAAAACCACATTTTGAGTCTCAAAAATGTCTTCAAACTCGTGGGGACGGGTATTTTGGTCCCCACAGGTATAGTAGCATACCAATTATCTGTCCTCACAAAGACATCTAAACCTGCAGACACAAAAATATATTTTGCTGATTTGTAACACTGCTCTATAGCCAGAGCTTACTAATGCACCCTCATGAAGTCTGTTCTAAAACCTAAAATAAATCATCTGTGTAGTAAATAATAGTTGGAAATTGGTCTTTATGTTGGTGAAAGCCCTGATTCTCACAGGTATGAACAGTCTCACCAAGTCAGCAGTTACATTTCCCACAGCCAGATGTTTTCTGCACTGGACAAGCAAACTTTAGCTTAATCTGCTGCATTCTAGCTTTTAGGAAACCCCTTCCAGTGAACCGTGGACCTGTGTTATAGCATGTGGAAAAGATCTGCAACATCCATTCATTAAAGAACTGGCTATCATTTAAAACTGCATGCTCACATTGTTCAATGAATCCTAGTTATTTAAATTAATTTACAGTTAGGTGAGTACACATGGCCCAGATAGACATGTGCATGCAAATCCAAGTCATGTACAAAAAACTAATATTAGTGCATAATATAGATTAAAGTGCAACCTCTGTTTTAATCATGAGGAAGATGCAGTACTCGAGCGGCAGATCCCAGATCAGCTGTACGTGGTAAAGGTCTCATTAGATAGCTTCCCTGCATCTAAAACTAACAGGCAGACCGTTAGCAGGAATCATGGTCGAGACATTAGGAGGACTTCATGCTGTTTAAGAGGTTATTTCAGGGCCATGCGGTGTGGCTTACAGGTTCCCTGTGATTGTGCATTCATGTGACATTTTAATTACTGCTGTAGATTCCATTTGATTACCCTGTTCAGTCCCACTGCCCTCGGTGTCCTTACACCAGTGACACGCTGTCTGCTGCAAAGATGAAAGCAGACACAGGTTTTTTTTCTGCTCCGTGAACAAATGTAATTGTCTTCTGTTGTTTGCATGCCCTGGAGGCTCAGCTTCACACTTTAATGCAAATTCCATCATTCTTTGTTTTAATGACAGATTAAATGTAATTAGCAAAACGTCTGAAGGCACCGTTAGCTTAGCTTTTGGGGATTTTTTTGTTGTTTGTTCTCTAATTTTTCTGACCCTATCATTTTCACATAACAGATCAGCCCTGCTTCCCATCCTATTACCTGGCAGTTAATTAGATAAGCTGATGCATAGCAAGACTGAGTTAGATCATACTTTGTATTATTGCCACTTACAGTGATGCACGTATGCATACACAGTTATACACACTTATTTTCAACTTGTCTGGGCACTGCATCTAAACTTCGGTGCTTCTTTTCTCTAAAATCAACATCCTCTTCAGTTTATTTCTGTTAAATCTTTTACAGCCTTTCTGCTCTCTTCATCTACAACTCCAAATGTCTGAGAATCCTTACTTGTCAGGAACAATTTCCACCAAGAATTCTGCACCGGGAATGATAGTTGCCACAGGTGAGTAAAAACACTGAACACCAAAGACAGTCTGCACATTAAAAATGCATAAGATGACTTTTTTTTTTTCATACGCTGAACACTTTACATTTACCAATGTCTGCACATGTTAGGTAGCTTAAAAATCAGGATCTTCTCTGACTGCTTCAGCTGCTTCTAACAGACTGATTTCGATCATATGAGGAGGTTGCAGGTTAAATTTTGGAATGTGCATGCTTATGCTTGCTCACAGGTGGCTTCCCTCACTGGCACTGCCTCTTTTCTGCTCCATCTCAACATCAACACAACCTAGACACCAACACAAACTCCACACAAGCACACTGATATGGCTTCAGGTGCTATTTCTTTAGTGATAGCGTTAGTAAGCAAGCTCTTTGTCTAAATGAACAGGCAGGCTAACATCAGCTACTATTAGAAAAATGTTTCCGGGTAAAATGGACTCATGAAGTGTCTCTCTTCTTGCTCTTGTTAGTGAGCGTCCAAGTAACTCGCGATCAGAGATGGGCAGTAACGCGTTGCAAGTAATCTGATTACTTTTTTCAAGTAACGAGTAAAGTAAGGGATTACTATTGCAAAAAGGTTTTTAGATTACCATTACTTTCCCGTAGGAACGCTGCGTTACTAAAACCGTGATTTTTTTTGCGAGTGTCTCATGACAGTGACGTAAGCGAGTGCGACGTTCGTGACAACAGCTGTGTGCAGATCAACAATGGATCATATATCGAGTGCAGAGAGAGTATGAGCGTGCAGCGTTTAAAGTGTGGAAGTACTGACCTTACTTTGAGTTTGATTCCATAAAAAGTGACAAAAACATTAGTGTCCGCTGTGCGTGGGAAGAAAACTTCTTTTTACAGCGAAAAAACCCCTAAACTTCCAACAAGCACCGAGTACGCTGCGACGTAATGGGAAACTCACAGAGAAACTCGCGGATTCTTCCACTGACCGCGGCACACCTGCACCAGGGTAAACCTCCGCCTACCCTGCTCCTGCTTTACAGGTGAAAATAGAGCAACAGCACCGCTGAGTCTTTGACTTTATTTATGTTCTGCTGTGTTTTACTTGCATCTATTTGAAAGAGTGAGTGTAAACACACAAAATATTTTATTTTATGTGCTGGAATGTGCAGAAAATAGGTTTAAATGTTAAACTAATTTCTTCCAGTCAGAATGTTGCATATAATAAAATTTTTGTTTGATGCATAAAGTTAAAAGATTAAAACTAATAAAACAAGTTTTAAAAAGAGACTTTTCCATCTGATTACATTTTGTATGATGGATTATGTAGAAAAAGTAGAATTGGGCTGAAAGATCTATCGCTTTATTACCTTTTCAGGTTGTAAATCGTGTAACTAAGTAACTATGTAATTAATTACTTTTGAAAATAAGTAATCAGTAAAGTAACAGGGTTACTTTTTGGGGGAAGTAATCAGTAATTAGTTACCGATTACTTTTTCAAGTAACTTGACCAACACTGCTCACGATACATTCATCTTATTCCTCTGTAAATCTTACAGTTGCCTAAATGCAAGATTTAACTAACATTTGATTTATGCATTAATAACCAGCATGGGGAGGTTAATCAGTTAGCAACAACTCCCCGGCAACCACCAGTTGCTAGGCAAAAAAAAAACACATTCCCCAACTGGGTGATGCTCTTACTGTGTTCAGTAGCAGTACTTCTGGGTCATCAGTAGTTTGCATGGCGGTGACTTGTAACGACTCTCTAAGCAGCACTAACACGTTAAAGTAAAGCCTGTGCCCCAGAACTCCAGCCAACATGTTTTTAAAGGTGTAAGTTTTACTTTGAAGGCAAACAGTGTTTGTTTCCGAGGGTTTCTTCCATGCAGTAAGCAAACAAAGGAATGACAACGAGGTATTCTTTGCAACTGATTTTACCAAGCAGGAGCCGCAGCCTCCAGAAAACCGACACCAGCCAGCCTTGAGCAGCGTGTGCACGACGTCACACAGGAGACCTTTACCCAGCATTTATCCTGGTCCCTCTGCATGTGTGTGCAGGACAGTCCTGTGGCCGTCTCATCAGAGTGTAATCAATGTTTTTCTGAAGTGGTGCATAGTAAAAATAAAATTTGTACAATGCTGATTGTGTTTAATAATGTCATATTAATTATAATAATCCATCATCTAATCCACAATGTTATTTTATATTTGTATTAGTATATTAACATCGCACAGGTTTAGTTTTGCCTTATGTTGCTATTTTAGTATGAAAGTTAACATTTCACAGGATCAAGAGTCGTCCCAGTCAGCAGCCTGATTATCTAATGCAGCTCTGATGTGACCCCTACCTGACCCCCACTTAAGCTTCTGTCTCAGCAGTTCTTTAAGCTTCACTGTGCAGAGTCCACAGCAGGTGCTCCGTTTCACGTATAGACTGACATGTTGTGGATCGTGTCCATTAGTTTTGGTGCCTTGTGTGGGGAAAGGCCACACTTATGTGTCGTGTGTGCCTGTAAGTGTTAAGGAAGAAAGAGAAGTGTTAGCGCCAATGGAGGAAAAAAACCTGTGGTTTTGCTTTGAGCGTGTGCATTTATGTTGTTTTGTCCTCGTTATGTGAAAACGCTGAATAAACATGCATTCCCAGCGTGATGTTTGCACAGTATGTACTCGTGTGCGCTTGTGTGTATTTCTGGCCGGGACTTTGCTTTGGCACCGTGATTCACTTTGCCCGCTGCGCCTTTTAAGACATCAGCTGGTGCAGAGATCATCTCACCAACATGACAAACACCATCCAGATCAAACACGTGCCTATTTACTGAGCCGCGGCCAAGATAGTCGAGCAGAACAACAGAAGAAACGAGTTCACTCGCTGCGCACTCGCAGGAAAAGGCTTTGGAGGCGCTGTGCTGCAACACCGCAGAAAGACGGAGCGAGAGAGGCACCCACCCTCGTCTACACCGCGCATTATGCTGTCCTCGTAACGAAGGCATCCACAGGAATTAACATGAAATATTCTCTGGTATTCACATGACTTGCAAGTCAGCAAGCTAATACAGGAATCAAGCCAAGATGATGAATTAATCAGAGACATGGTGTGATTTACAGCATGTGTTTAAAACACATATGGCCTGTTATCTTTGTGAGATCTCACTGTGTTTTTCATGGTGTGTGTGTGTGTGTGTGTAATTTCCACTGCAGGAAATATCGGAGCAGAGCTCTCTTACAACAATGTTGGCATGTTCATATCATCTGATGCTGGCAATACCTGGAGACCGGTGAGCCTCACACCTACATTTACACCCACAGCCAGCAGATCTGCAGCAGTTTCGAACTTTGACGGATGATGTAAAAAATTAAACACAAATATTGTATTTTCTGGCTTCTTGTTATGCAACACCTTTAGTTTCCACTCCAGCTGACTGCAGGTTACAGACTTTTTATAAGACAGTTTAGACATGCTACACACCAAAGCAAGAGTGCAGACAATGATATCATTAACGGTTGAATTATTATAGTATTGTGCTTCCCTGCTTGGCTCATTCAATCTGGGTTTTTGGCCCTGATGAACAGAAGTATGACCTCTTTAACGTCCCATATGTACCTCTGAGAGACTTGCCCGCCTTTTACATTCTGTTTTGGCCCTTGTTCTAACTTTTTTGTGCTCCTAGTATCTAATTCACAATGAGCTTCTGGTTTAAATGGTTTACAAACCACTGCATTTTAATTTTATCTGAATTTCACCCAACTTTTTTGGAAATGGGACATAATTTTGTAACCTTTGTCACTGTGTTTTTGATACCAATGTCTGTGAATGTCTGTTCAGATTTTTGAAGAGGAGCACAATATTTGGTTTCTGGACAAAGGAGGGGCTCTTGTTGCTGTGAAGCAGCCATCTGTGCCAACTAGACATTTGTGGTATGTCCATTTGGAGAACTTTTTTGGACAAGTTTCCTGTCTTAAATTGCTTTTCCAATTTCCTGTGGCTCTTGTAAGGTTAATCCAACAGTTACAGTTCCAAAAAAAGTGAATGTGCATATTATATGTGACACTTGATCCATTTAGTGATGCACTTTGACTATGGCTCTTAAAAAAAAGAGAAAAAAAATCATAGCCAATCTAATTTGAGGGGTTTTTTTCTTCCCTAGACCACTTATCATTAACAGCCAGCACCCCAAACCCCCCACCCACCCCCGCACCTCCTTTTACTGTTTTCATTAACATGTTGCCTTCCTCTTGCCAAATCGGGTGCCTCGCTTTGCCTCCGTGCAGGCTAATCCAAGTGAGACCAGATCTGTGTGCTCGCTTTTGCAATAATTTTGAAATTAGTTTTAGAAGCAGTGAAGTGTAGCCTTTTTGTCTCCCAACCAATTTAAGTGCGATGGTAGAGGAAGTGCAGAAAAAAAGAGATTGATATGAGTATCTCCACAGTCACTGCATCGCAGCGTTCATAGGCAGCTTTACCTTAAACAGTTCCCCTGACTGAATCTCATAACAGGTGCATGTCAACGCTTTTTCTGTTGTTAGTGCTTTTAGCCAAATGAAGGCAGTGGCAACATGGGACAATCTTCTGAGCACCGGCCTCAGTGCTGTTTCAACCCACGCCACACTCGGGTACTCCTAGTTGTTCTCACTTCAGCACCAGTGTTGATATACTGTCAGGATCAATGTAGCCCAAGACCCGATGATGAAAGCTGTCCAATCTTGTGTTCCCGTCTCCTTCTCCCTCTGCACTTTTTTAGTCAAAAATGAAACAGTTCTATTCTGGTCTTGTGTTTTTTTGCCTCTGTGTCAACTTTTTATCCAGGAAACAATGATGTTGCTTTTTTTCCTTTGACACCGAAACCTTTCCTTTGTTCACGTCTTGCAAAAGCAGTTTTGTGCTTCTTTGTTTTAATAAGTTGGCGGACTCTCTTAAATTCCCTTTCAATGCCTCAGCATTTAATATTTACCAAACGCTGCAATAGCTAATTGCACAGAGACTCGGAGTCTCCTGTGTCGAGACAAGCCGGTCATTCTGATCCCTACATAAATCCTCCCCTATGACCAGGATCTAATAGAGAGCGTCTGTGTCTGCGCCGTCGCTGTTGCCGGGTTTGTGATGAGAATGTGTTCTGACGTACAATACACAGGGTCAGCTTTGACGAAGGCAGGCAGTGGACCCAGCACAGCTTCTCCTCGGTGCCCCTGTTTGTGGATGGAGTGCTGGTGGAGGCTGGGGCTGAAAACCAAATCATGACGTAAGTCCACAAAGAGCTGAATGACATGTTACAATGTGTTGATGTGATTTGAGTAAAAGGTGGCAGTGGGGGGTCCTTGGGGTTATTTTTGCCCTCCAGAGAGGCCCAAAGGATCGAGGACCTCTAAAAAGGTCCTCAAGAGCGCTGCAGGATTGTGAGTCAGGTGGTTTTTAAGTCTCTCAAGGAAAGGGTTTAAAGGGTTCAAAGAACAACTTTTAAATCAGCCTTTTTGCTGTTACACCTTTAGAATCGAATCAAATCTTGTAGAGTAAAAATAAAATGGCCATGAAAAAGCACCTTTTGAAGCTTTTTGCTCTTTATGATGATAAACTGAGGTAAGGAGCACATGAGTAACAACAGTTATAGCTAAGAATTAAAGAATGAACGGGGCAGATTTATGTAAACAGATGTCAAACACAGAACAAAATATCCATCATAGATTACAGATCAAGTCCAGTTTAATTTAGCCCAAATGACAGCTAGCTGCTGTGCTATTGTTTATCTACAGCAGCTAATGCCTCTGCTAACCCCGCCCCACCAACCCCATCTTCTCCACAGACCCCGGCTGGACCCAGAAGCAGGGTTCATACTTCATCACTTAAAGACCGGATAGAGATGACAGGTCACACAATAGTGTCTTTTTCAACTACTGTTATACAGGCTGTGCTTGTATCACTTTCATTTGCACCTTTAGACACTGTAAAGCAGTTTAGATTACAGTACTTTGAAAAACTCTTTGGCTTATTACTCCATACAGATTTGGACCCTCTGAGCTGTTAACAGTGTGGTACAGTAATTGTTTCTCAGTTTGTTGGAATCAGAGTCACTTTAGAATCATCATTTTAAAGATGTGTCAAAAAGTCAAAAATCATTTTTTTCTGTTTAATCATTTTGTAACTACTTAGACTTTAAGGTTGGTGTTTGGTGCAGAAAACTTCTCATCTTATTAATGCACTAATGCAGCTGTTTGTAAGCAGCAGTTTGCTAGTTTAAATGCATTGCACTGCATTAGTTCAATACAGAGGGTCTTTCTAAAGAGAATCTCCAAAGGGTCACAGACCTGTCTGAGGTGACACAGCGTGACAACGGGAGAGTAAAAGCTTTCAGATTTTTATCAAATCCCTGCTTTTCTTTGTGAATAAAAAAATGAATTATATAAACCAAGTCAGACATTTAAAGAGGAACTGGAGTTGATTTGGGGTTGTATCTTATGAGATTATTACAGGTTTTTTGTGAAAAGTCTTGATTTTTAAAAGGAACGTGTAAACATATTGATCAAAAACTAGAGATGCAGTACAGTTTTTTCCTTTGAAGTACTGTGGAGTGGAAATCTAGCAGTCCTTTCCCGCCTCACCATTGCTGATCAAAACTAATTTTATTAAGATCATCTTGCTGTTAATTCCTTGCCCGCTTTGACTTCATATTAGCAATTTTACCCTGTTGCCAGATCGAAGCAAACCTCTTGGGGAGCACAGTGTCATTAAGAGTAGAAGTGATACGCTCGAGTGTCACTATGTGCATTTTTACTGGAAAATGGCACTTTATAAATAAAAAGCAGAGTTTAAGTCATTCAGATCGTTTGCCTCTTGCAGCTTTTTTGGACACTTTAGCCACCGTTCCGAATGGCAGCTCATCAAGATAGACTACAAGTCCATCTTCAGCAGGAAATGCACAGAGGAAGACTATCAAACCTGGCACCTGCACAACCAGGTAAAAATCTAAATCCATGCCATGCATGAAGGTGCTGCCCGTGTTAGTGTTTGTGCTTTGAAAATGCTTTTCAACCATTTCTCTTGCATACAGGGCGAGCCGTGCGTAATGGGACAAAAGCAGATTTACATGAAGCGCAGGCCCGGAAACTACTGCATGCTGGGAAAGGACTACTCGAGAATCCTGTCTGCCGAGTCCTGTATTTGCAGGGCTCATGATTTTGAATGGTAAGATGATGTGGGCCTTTGTTCAGTAGCCCCTTTCTTCATAATCGTCGAGGGGGATTATGTTTCTTTCTATTGTTGCTGAAGGAGAACTTCATTAATTGCAGCTTTTGTTCTGCCGCACATGTAGAAGCACACATTTCAAAGGACGCGCTTTCTTAAAATAATATTTTTAGAGTTTTTCATTCTGTTACCTTTTAAGCAATTTGTTACTGGCAGCTGCTTCGTGTGAATGAGACTCAACAGGTCATTTAGCTAAATGCTGCGTTGAAGAAAAAAAAAAAAAAGTCTCTTTGAAAAACCAGCTTCTCTTCAGTAGCAATTTATTTTGAAGTGCATCCATCCAGCTACCATCAAATACACTCTTCACACCATTCACATGTGCTATTTAGGGCTGTTTCTGCATCCCTGCTGTAGCCACAAACAACGTGAGTCCTGTAACTTACAAAGCTGCAGATGAAGGAAAAAAGAGGGAAACGGATTAGAAAAGAAGGCTGTTTTCAGCCACACTTGGGTTCACTTTGTCCTAATCACATTTTTTGTTCTGAGTAGAAGAAAATGATCTTGATGATATGTGTGCTCGTGTAAAATATACAATAAAAGCTGATGTGACAAAGTTACAATCCAGATTTTCACACTCATCCTACGCAAAAGAGCAATAAATAGGGTCCATCTTCTTATTGACTGAAAAACAACTGTGGAAGAAGATTTTTTATTTAAGTGGAATCATATCCTATCCATGTGTTTCAGTAACTTTTTCCGTGTGTTTTCCAATAATCTGATGAGTTTGGGATGGTTTTACACAATTTGCTCATAATGTCTGTCTCCGTATGTCTGAGCTCACCGTGCTCGTAATTCTGTTCAGACCATGTGGGCGTGTAAATAGTTTCAATTTGTATGCAAATCCTAAGCGGTTGTGTTTTTTATCTTGTAATGACAGAGAATGGAAAAAAAACCATTTCAACATACAGCAGTTATGTAAATAGCGTTTGTAGATGTGCAGAGAGTGAGTGCTAATTGGTTCCTATTGAACTAGTCGAAAGTTTTTAGTGTTTTTTTCATTTGTTTGTTTGTTTGTTTGTTTAGTCTAATTTCTGTCTTGCTGTTTTTCTCTCTGCGGGGAATTATTTGATGAATACTTAAAATTCAGAAACGAGGAGTTTTAAAAACCCATCAGTGCAGAATTGAAGTCCAAATCCTTTAACTTAATTCAAGGTGTGAAGAGTCTGCCTGGCACAATGATCAGCTAAGTGCGTACTTATTAACGTTATATTAATCAGTTGAAAATGCCTGCAAACTATTGTGCACGTAGTGTTCTGCATACTGACCAGCTGGCACCGAACACTGAGTCAAATCCCAAGTTTCCTTTACTGCCTGATGACAAGTTTCCTGAATTAAATTTGGAAATCTGGAATCTTGTAGCAGTTGCTCATTTTGTTTCATTTGTTTCATTCGGTTTGTTCCAAGCTGACTCTGTTATGATTCATTTGTGTCATAAAAAGCAGAGCAGACCAACCACGGGCTGATGGTACACATGAGATTTTAGGATGACTAAATCCATCTTCTGATCATGCTTTGAAAAAGAAAGCTCATGACTCATACAAGCAGTGTGTGTGTGTGCGCGTGTGTGTGTGTGTGTGTGTTTAAACTGTGAAACATAGTCAGCATTCAAGATTCATAAAGGACAATGGTCGAGTATAATCCCTGATGAAAATCAACAAAATGCTGATTAAAGTCACACTTACGCTAAAACCTTTAACTGGAACTCTTCGTGTCCCCAAACCCTGAAATGACTGAGCTCATGAACTCATTGGGAAAGTGTTTACCAAGGTCAGGATAGACTAAGGCTGCGTTCACACTGCAGGCGAAAGCGCATCAAATCCGATGTTTTTGACCCTGTGCGACCCATATCCGATCATGGTGTGACAGTGTGAACGGCACAAATCCGATATTTTCTAATCCGATCTGGGTCACTTTCGTATGTGGTACTGAATCCGATACATATCCGATGTTTCAGAAAGCGACTGCTGTTTGATGGTTATGTCGCATTAAATCCGTCTTTTACGTCACCGACACAAGACAGACGTCGATTATCAGCGCCAGAGAAGACATCGCGAACGCCTCCTGGCCATCCAGTGTAGATGTCAGTGAAACTGTTGGGAAGACAACGTGAACATTTTCTTTGTACTGCATAATCTGCAGATTCTGACAGAAATCTGCAGCTATCCTTTGAAGCACCGCTTCTCTAAAACAGCAATAAGGATCATTATTAGGTTATTTACATTATTATGTAAATAACAAAATAACTTAAAGCAAAAATTGGGAAACGTAAAATCCGAAGTCTTTATATTAACTCATTCACTGCCAGCCATTGGCAGTGAATGAGTTAAATCCATTGACTCATTCACTGCCATTGACGGCTATAGACGTCAATGGCAGTGAATGAGTTAAGGGCCATCAGTCAAACGATACTGTTGCTCTGGGTCTAAACAGAGCGCGTTGTGTGTGACGTCTTCTTTTGTGCATGCGGCTGCTTTGGTTCACACTAGAGCGCGTTTGCTGTCGCATTTTATTTGTAGTGTGAACGAGCAGACAAAAAAATCGGATTTGATCAAAAAATCGGAGTTGAGCATCAAGACCTGCAGAGTGAACGTAGCCTTATATATATACTAAAACTTGCACAGTGGACATCTGGTCTTACTTAAGTCCAAGTCTTGCCCACTGGTGGCTATAGAAAGATGACCCGACTTCTGTCCCCCAGCGCCTAGCTATGGTGGATCTTGAACATGTAAATGGTAATACTGGGAGTTATTTAGGCTTAACAGGATTATGCTGTTTTAAAACATTAGGCAGAGCCAATGTAATTTCCCCTACCTCGGCCTCCTCCGCTCCAGTTAAGTTAAGCTAATCGGCCCCTGGCTCCATGCGCCACTATGAAAGTGGCTTTGACCTTCTCATTATTACACATGTATTAAGATGCATTACATGGTTATTTTGTTGACTGCAAAAGTGTTATTCTGAACATAAAGCACATCCTTTGTCCTAGGCTGTACTCTGTGCCGACCTTTTACCTGCTTGCCAACATGCGCCTGTGTATCCAATCAATCTTGGCAGCTCGCTAATGAGAAGTTCACACTGTTGTAATCACACATTCATACTGGACTAGTCAGCGACAGGCTTGTTAGTTTTGTTTATTTGTTCTGCATTGCTAACTAATTAATAAATCAATGTCGTGAGCATTATTAGAGTGGACACTTGCTTACTTTGCTTTGTTACATGTAAATCATGTCCTGACTGGGAACATTGACAGGCAACTTGAGAGTCAGTCATCCTTAAAGACGGTGGCAAACCTTTGCCTGCACATTGTGTTTCCACACCCACAGATTCACACTGCTGTGGTACATTCGTGAGCAGCAGTAGCTTTAATCAATACTTAATAATGATGCGTCTCTGTGTCAGACAGGCCCCTGGTCACCAGCTATGAACAGAGATAAGATGTAAATGGGGAACACGCTGCAGGACAATAAGTCCCTTTTCACATGCTGATATTGATCAGGTACCGTGTGGATGTTCTTTGTTGTGTAACAGTGATTATGGATACGAGCGCAGCAGCGACGGGAACTGCAAGCCAGCCTTCTGGTTCAATCCTTCCACCGTGTCCAGGAGCTGCAGCCAAGGCCAGAACTATTTCAACAGCACGGGGTAAGCACTGTGGGATTTAGTACTAATTCACATTTAAAAGAATATAGTACAGTATGCTGCGCACATTTATGTAAAATGTTTTTGTGAACAAACAGGTCTTTGCAGAGGACTTTTCCACAGTGGGATGTGTTTTCATATCAGATAGGGATCATAGATTTAATATGATCAGTGGAGCAGAAAGCCGATGTTCACAATCTGGTCCCAATGTGGGGATTTAAGCTTTGGCTTATCCTCATAAACATGTCCAGGAAAGAGCTTTGAAATCAGTAACATTAACCTTAATCCTACCAACTCTGGTGCTCACAGGACCCAGAGGCAAACCATTCATTATATTTCACAGGTGCTTTATTCGAAATGTTTTATGTCTTGTTACATGTCAGTCAGTTGGTTTCTAATGACTTCTTGTCTCTGTTTTCTGTTGCTGTTTTAATTTGGGACTATGCAGCTTTAATAGATGAAGCTGTTTATTGGGGTCATGTTCGTCACAGGTCATAAACTGTTGGTGAGTTTGGGGTCCACTCTCTGTCATTTTAGAGGATAACTGCAAAGGGAATTTCTCCTCATTTTCCAAAAGGTGATTTTATTAAAACTATAAAGAGAGACAAAGAAAGGCACTATCAGATCTGCAGCTAGAACACGATAATTTAGGTTATAGCAGCAAAACCTTTGAGGTCAGTGAAGCACGGGTCGGTTTTACTGCTCGTACACTTTCTCTCCCAGAAGAAGATTGTTTTATTCTTTAATTCAAAAAAACCACTGACCGTAAACATCCTCTGGACATGTACAGAGGACGACTAGTGGATATACTGGACAAAGGATTTTGAAATTGAAGCTGCGAGGCAGAATGAAAAGAGGAAGGCCTCGGAGAAGAGACATTGATGTATTGAAGGAGAATATGGAGAGAGTTGGATCGACAAAAGAGGATGCAAGAGACAGGGTGAGATCAAGGCGGATAATCCACTGCACTGAAAGAAGAAGGATGTTTCACAGTTATTGTGTGAGGTTACTAAACGCCACCAATCAATCAGTGAATACTGACCATATCTGGTCAATTGATGATTGAGACCAGGGTAGTAATTTGGCAGATCCTTAAATGGAAAACCACTGCAATATATCCTGTTCATGTTCAAATACTTCAATTGGGAAAAGTCGTATATTTGCATTTTTGACGTGATCTTACATTTTCCATTACAATCCATTTTTCTTTGTTATGTCACAGAGATGTGACCTTTTTGTTAGTTTGGAGGCGCCCCGGGGACCGACACCTTGCAAAGCTTAATCACAGTGGGAGTGTTTTATTCACTGCCACTATGATTAAGCTTCCATGGTGTCTCAGCCTTTGACACAGCTTGTGTTGTCAGTTGTCATCCTGTCTGGGAGCCTGTTCAGACACAACAGCTGTGCTCTGTTTAGTTCAACAAAATTCTCTGTAAAGCTCGTGCAGCATAGAGGGATAAAATACTTTTCTTTCCCAAGGTACCGCAAAGTGGTGCTGAACAACTGCACGAAAGGAGTGAAGGAATTGTACACACCCAGAAAGCAGCAGTGTCCCAACAGACCCCCGAAAGGACTCTTGCTGACCACCAAAGATGGCAAACTCACTGCCAGCCTGGGCAGCAATGTCACCTTCATGGTGCATTTGGATGAGGTGAGAACAAATACATCTACATTTAGCTACAGACCTGTCAACTTCAACGCTAATTTATTTACCTCAGTTTTTGCTTAAAGCTGCAATAACAGAATTCTGGCCACCAGGGGGCAGAAAAACACATTCATGTGAACTGTTCTGGATACTTAATATCTTTTGAAGTTGCAGTTATAATGAATTTGTATCTGTGCTTTGGACCATATAAGGGATAAAATGTTCCACTTTCTTCACAACTTTAGATAAATTATCTTGTTCTTCTTTAATTAGGTAGGCAATATGCACGCTATATGTTTGAACTCATTATTATGAAGTGAATGTTGATTGCACAGTTCGATATCGTATTCAGTTTGGTTGCCTGTATGACACCCACTTTAACTGGCAGTTCTGTCTGTGAATGGGTGGTGTAAGATTGCTTGGAAAAAACCGATGCTAAATTGAAATAAAAAGTCTGATTATCATAAGAATCCAATAAAGGTCAGTAAAGGAAGACCTTTAGAGAGAGCTCCGGTAAAGATTTAAAAAGCAACGCTGTGCTGACAGTGTTGCTACTTGCTCACCACAAAAATGCTAAAAAATACAAAACAATGCAGAATTATTATCCAGAAACAACCAGATATGTTTAAACAGGAAGTGAGCTGCAGCAGTGCTGCAGGGAGGGATGCAAATCAAAGTTTTTTTATTGAAACTGTAAATTCAAAGTTTCATAATGTTGTATATTGAACACATCTCATACTACAGTGATTCTTTTGTTTTGAACCACATCTATTATTTGCTCTCTCGATTTGTCTACATATCAACTTACATAAAATTTTAAATTCATTGTTTTTCTTGTTTGTTTGTTTTTTAAATTAAATCATTGATTTCCAAAATTATATATACAGTAATGAAAAAGTTTAGTGAATTATTTAGAGGACTCTAACTGACATGGTGTGAAAAACTAAGTACACTCCCTGCACTTAGACAACGCCACAATCTTTCCTGGAACAAAGGTCTCTGAGAATTCACCCCAAGGTCATATTGTATTATAATCAGAGAAATTCAAAAGACTCGATTATATTAAATGTTGAAGTTTAAGAAAGTGCAATTAGAAGAATACTGAGTGAGTGTGGCTTGTTTGGAAGGGTTGAGAAAGCTTCTTCTCTAAAGAGAACATGGCAGCTAACGTGTTTGGCCATGACACAAACAGCATATCAGCACAAGCACCTCATACTAACTGTGATTGCAGCCATGGCGGGCGGGTGATTTGGGCTTGTTTTGTAACCACAGGACCCGGGTACCTTTCAGTCACTGAGTTGAGCCCATGAACTATGCAGTATTCACGAGTTAAATGGGAGGCAATCTGCTGTGGCAGGACCTTAAGAGAGCTGCACATAAATGAGTGCCTGCAAATCTCAATGAACTGAAGTAATGTTTTAAAGTGTTCAGAATTTACTGCACAAAGGAGTAGAATAAAGATTATTTCAAGTTATTGCTACTAAATGTGGAATTATTGGGTATGCTTCAACCATGACTGTGTATTTTTATAGAGTAACTTTATCATATGACTTGGTGACAATGCTAACACTCTTAAACTCACACACTGAGCCTTCAGTTGTGCTTTTAACTTCAGCTGCAGTGGTGTAGACCAGCGGCCCCCGACCTTTTTTGCACCACGGACCGGTTTAATGTCTGACAATATTTTCATGGACCGGCCTTTAAGGTGTCGCGGATAAATACAACAAAATAAAATGAAACGACCGAGACAAAAACTGTGGTATTCTGTAAATATAATTGTTACGTTCCCCTGAGGGGTCCAGGCGGTGCGGGGGAAGTAACAAAAAGTGTCCGGGTCAGAAAAAGGAGTCAAGGAGGCAAAAGGGTTAAACTACAGAGTTTTTATTAATACTAACTAAAGGAGACAGACAAGCCGCTATCACCATTTAAAGAAACAAACAAAACTCAAGCGTTAGTCAATAAGTACAAAGTCAAAAAGAGTGCAGCTCACTAGCTGCAAACACCGCAAACACTCAGCTAACTAGCTGTAACCACACTAATGACACTCTGGCCCAGAGCTCACCTTTCCCTGGGCTTAAATACTTTTAATTACTGATGTGAGTCAGCTGTGTAAAAGGGAAAGGCGGCACCTCCAGCAGAAGAGGAGTGGGACACGCCCACACAGGCACCTTCAGGAGGAGGCCCTGCCAGGGCCGTAACAATAATAATAAATGCAAATTCACTGTGTAACTTTATTAGGAGCGTCCTCCTGAAATGCACCAACAACACTGAGAGTAACATCCTCCTCTCTGCCCCTTAATGCTCTCTGGTCGCTATGGTAACGCGCAAACATTTCTTTCAAGATAAGACACGACTACAACACGAGAAAAGACCCGGGGGAAACAGAGTTAACGATAACCAGTCCGTGGCCCGGGGGTTGGGGGCCGCTGGTATACAACACAACAATGTCAGTTTTCTTTTTAGCCTAAATGTGCTTACAATGCCTGGATTTACAAATAGTGGCACTAGACACCCGGTGAATTGTGAATCATATGGAATTCCATATTGTGGGATCATTTGGTACATGTGACTTGGGAAACCCAGCATCATAATCGCACTGACGACACAGTTCCTCGTCCACTGGTGAACTAAACTATGTTGAATGGTTGTGCTGAACAGCTGGATGCATCAGTGATTTCTTGTGTTGCTATTTAAAACTCGTGTCCAAATAATATTTTATGATGTCAGGACACATAAAGTAAACTGGTGTTTTTATTACTTCCTAGCAAGCAGTAGGACCAGCTGCACTGTAGGCGGGTTTGTTCACTTACTATCGTGCTTCCCTGAAACCCGAAGCACAAATCCTGAAGTACTTTCTAGGAATGTAACTGAATTCTAAACACTCTGAGGTTTAATAGAGTCAAATCCCTCCAAACCTCCCGTGCAGCGTAAGACTTCTGAGTCAGAGGCAGACACAAAGGACCTCACCGGAGACCCTGTTAGTGAGCGAGAGCTGTTGTGTTCAGAGCCAGGTCTGCCACACTGGCTGGTCACGAGGAAACTGCCTCACATGTGTCTCAGGCAGTATATGGTCTGTGGATAATAACTGCAGGCTTTACGGCGTTAGCAACTGGAGTGTTTTCCTGCCACAGCGGGAACAGCTCGAGGTAAGTGCGCGTCCCCCGGGGTCCGGCCCCAGTTGTCATATTACTGCGTGATAAGTTGAGGAATGGACGCCTGTTTTCTTTCATAAAGAGTGGATTTCTGTGATGGAAAGAGGAGGGGGACAGGAAGGGACGTGGGTGGCAGAACGATGCGATAAAAGAGAAGAAGAGAAGCGCGGGGGTAAAGAATCCTTGTGGCATCAGCCCTATTTGAGAAAATTCTCAAGATGAATTCAAAGTTTAATTTATATTCATGAAGCTTGCGATGGCTGTATTTCTTGGGAAGAGCAAATGGCATACAATTTTAAATGGGAGAAGACCCTGTGGCTCATATCCATATTTAAAAAGACGGTTAGAAAGAACTAAATAATCAACATGTTTGGGTGGATGATCAGATCCGCATCGCTTCTGATTTTGCATTGTTTAGGCAGCCGTCTACACGTCGCAGTAACTATGTTGAGTTGTCAGCTGTTAGCAGAGTGATTTTTTTGTTCTTAAACTGTTCATGAAGGATTGTTTAAGATTTGTTAAAAAACAAAAAACAGCTCACATTGTCCTGACTTTGAGATAAGTGGGTACTGTGTGCATTCTAATTATTATTACGGAGGACGATTCTTAGAGAACTGCAGGAGTTTGACACAAATTGCACTTGGCAGCAGCAACATCATGCTAAATGCAGCAGGTACAAAGCTCATTTTAACTGGGATATGAAGATTAACATTAAACAGGCCACTTAAGAGCTATTTTTACTCTTTGACACATTTCAGGTCAGCCTGATCTAAAAATATCTTTAATTAATTAATTATTAGTCAGTTATTTATTAAAAATCCCCACGTGAATACTTTAAACCCACAAACTAGGGCTGCCCTAAAGGATACACTATTTCATCCTCCTGTTTGACTCTAATTAGGATCATTGCAGATAATCATTATGTTGCATTCAGTGAGGACTAGAACAAGTGACAGTCTTCTTGCAACCAGGGAAGTCTCCCTCTGTTGGCCATTAGGAAGAATGCAGGTTTAAGGTTGTATTGAATTGGCTTCCCTTGTCAGACGTGGAAGCTATGTCTAATTTTTTTCCACTGTGTTGTTCGAAAATAAACAATTTCTATCTGCAGCGATCTCATTGATTACCATCTTCTGAAAAGGCTGGACATTTATGGGCCTTCACCCACACAATCACAAACAACAGTCTACATACCTTCACTCAAACCTTCAAAAACTCAGCACTTTTTTTAGTCCGATGATTCCAGCTGCTGCTTTTGGTTTCATGGTGCTCCAGATGTTTTCAGCTGGTTAGGGGTCTGGACTCCACAGCATGTCTTTATCCTGTCTTCCTTCTCTCACCCCAAACGGTCACAGCAGATGGCCCCGCCCCTCCCTGAGCCTGGTTCTGCTGCAGGTTTCTTCCAGTTAAAAGGGAGTTTTTCCTTCCCACTGTCGCCAAAGTGCTTGCTCATAGGGGATCATATGATTGTTGGGTTCTTCTCTGTATGTGTTATTGTAGGGGCTACCTTACAATATAAAGCGCCTTGAGACAACTGTTGTTGTGATTTGGCGCTGGATAAATAAAATTGAATTGAACTGAAATGACTGCAGGCTGGCCAGTTCAGCACCCAGATGCTTACACAGCTACAAAGCCATGCTGCTGGAATAGACGCAGTATGAGGTATAATACTTCCCAAAAAAGAGGTTTCACAGACAGGATCACATGTTGCTCTAAAACCTTTTAGCATTGATGATACCTTTCCAGATGTGCAAGATGTCCGTTCCATAGGCAGTGATGCACTCATACCATCAGAGATGCAGCCTTATGAACTACCACTCATAGCAAGCCAGATGGCCCCTCTCTACTCGAGTCTGG